GTCATAATAAAAAATCTGTCAGTGATGTACCAAGTCTTTTTAAAAATCATGTAACTAAATCACTGGGATTTCCCTGGTGGCCTAGTGGTTAGGATTTCAGGTTTTCACTGCCATGGCCTAGGTTCAATTCCTGGTCAGGGAACTAAGGTCCTGTAGGTTGAGTGGTTCAACCAAAAAATTTAAAGATAAAAACATTTTAAAAAATTAAAGATATGCATATTTTCAAAGATATAGGGAAAATGAAGCTGTATATCTAGTACATAACACTCTAGCAGCGTAATGGTCTCATTTCACAGAGTCAAGACATTTAGTGTTTGCTCTTTTTAATAAACTCCCAATACATTTACCCTCTGCCTTAAGTGCATAGCACCTCCTCCTCCCCTTCACCTTCCCAAGCACAGTGACCACAAGAACAAGTTTTGGAACCAGATATCTGGGTTTACAGCCCAGGTCCTCCACTTGGCAGTGTGTGACCTCAGGCAGCTGACTTATCTTCTTTGTGCCTCGGTTTTCTCAACTGTGAAATGGGCACAGCAATAGCCCCTCACCTCTTAGGGTAGCTGGGAGGCTCAGATGAATTCATGCATGTAACACAGGACATGTTCAGTAAACACAGAAGGCTATTCTTGCCAGACTCTTTTTATCCATTACCTTGAAATGCGTGTCCAGTTCTCACAACACTGAGAAGTAAGAGAGGATATAATCTGTTTACATTTAACAACATAATCAGCTAATTGTGGCCACTCCAAGAGACTCACTGCAGAGCCTTCTGGGGAATGTACATATTTAATCACTTGTTTCTGTCTATTTGGGGTTTTCTGTTCTGTGGCTTAAGGAAGCAGGCCTCAGGAGTCGTAAGAAGCACTTTGCTGTGGAGAGTTTTAAAAGGTGGTCAAGTTTGGGAAATATTAGTTAGCATGTAAAAGCACAGAGTGGATGAGTTGATCTTCAACTCATGTAGGAGGAAGAGGGAGATAGCTGGGCGTCCAAATGTGGCAAATTTGCAGAGGCTTTATGAATGCTCCATGTGCCTTGGCTTGAGAATTTCTCTTAAGTAGCTGACACCATTAGTGGCTTAAAAAACAGTATTTGGATTACATACATGAGTATGTGCATGCATGTGTGCACACATGTGCACATATGCATGTGTATATGTGTGTTTGTGGTGATGACCCATTCCTTGACTTGGGTCCAGATAATGGGCTTCTGGAGGGTAAAGCCCTTCCCTCTGAGGTTGGTCAAGAGGCTGATTAAAAGACAACAGTCTGTAAATAACACGGTCCTACTGTATAGCACAAGGAACTCTACTTCACATCCTGTGATAAACTATAATGGATAAGAATATGAAAAATAATGTGAATCTATATAAATGAATCACTTGGCTGCACAGCAGAGATTAACACAACACTGTAAATCAACTATCCTTCAAAAAATAAATTAGAAAAAACAATGATCTGCTTGGTTTGTTTTTGTTTTTTGTGTTTTTAGGAAACAGAAAACCTGATGGATGCCGAGGAACGGTGTGAGGGACTCATCAAAAGCAAGATTCAGCTGGAGGCCAAAGTGAAGGAGCTGAACGAGAGGCTGGAAGAGGAGGAGGAGATGAATTCTGAACTGGTTGCCAAGAAGAGGAACCTGGAAGATAAATGCTCCTCCCTCAAAAGAGACATTGACGACCTGGAGCTGACCCTCACCAAGGTGGAGAAGGAGAAGCATGCCACGGAGAACAAGGTGGGCATCCCCACCCCTCCTCTGAGGAGGAGACATGTGGGGAGGGAATTGCCTGGAAGTGGGAGGGGAATGATCTGCCTCTGCCCTGTTCTTAAATCCATGGGCTCTTCCCCTGCCCCTGCTACCTGCCTGGTCCCACCACAAGCTTCTAGCCCCAACCCTTCCTCCACAAAGCAAGAGATCCCTCAGGAGAGGCACTTGGCACAGGGAAGCCAAGAATCGTGCCCACAGATCAGGGAGGCAGGTGGTGAAGGAGGCAGAAAACTGAACCACACCAAGGACTGGCAGGAAGGTTAGAGGTACAGGGACCCTCATGCATTACTGGTAAAGTGTAGACTAATGCAGCCTACGGGAAAGCCATCCAGAAATTCTTAGCCGAGTTAAGAATCCATGCATCCTTCAACCCAGTGATTCTGCTTCTGGGTATACAGACCAAGGAGTTCTTCTGCCAGGTCCACAAGGGGACATGTATGAGGAGGCTCATGGCAGCATTTCTTGTGGTGGGGGGGATGGATGCTGGAGGCAGGATCAGGGTCCACCGGGGGGCAGGTGGAGAGGTGAGATGTGGAGGACACACAACAGGGTGTACCACACAGCCACTGGGACAATGAGATGGATGTATAAGACCTAGTGCTGAGTGTGGGGACAAAGGAAGAAAATGAAATATATAGCATGAAACTATTTATGTAGACTAAAATTACATGCACACAAAATAACACATACTTCACAAAAATTCATGGAAAGTACAATCCATGATTCACATCATCTTTGTTCCCAGGGAGGTAGACATGACTCAAGGCAGTGTCGAAGGGACAACTGGGCGTCGATAGGGAGGTGATAGGCAGGGGTGGGGACTGGCAAACTGGAGAGCACTTGCCCTGCCCCCAGGTGGCAGCAAGGACCCAGTGCCAGCCAATTGTTGCCAGGTGGGGATGTGAACACCACATGGCCAAAGTTTCTGATTTTCCTTGAGAAATCAGACATCCAGATTTCAGGTGAAATCTCAATTTTTCCCCCAATGTTTACAACTTATTCAAAAGTTGTAAACTATAGTTATAAACTATCATGTGGCCAGATTTGGCCCACAGGTCAGGAATTAACAACTTCTGACCTGGATGAGTGTTGCACGTGGGAAACAGTCAATTTAATGCTTTAAAGCTCCATGGTTGGTGTTCTTGCCCTTCTTCCTGACACAGGGGACTCCCCATGCTGGATTTTCTTGTATAACACCTCCTGCCTATTCCTCTTCCCCTTCCTGCCTCATTCTAAACCCTGGCCAGCTAATAAACAAATTTCCATGGGTATAATCTGATGAGTATAGGTTGATGTGTTGTTCTTTGGAGGCAGCATATTTGCATTGATAATGTCCTTCTGTATACCATATGATGTCCTCTTTAAAAAAAATTATCCTAAAGGGCCCTGTGATAGGCCAGTGAGGACTGAAAAACACTAGAGGCTGCCAATTTCAGGATGATGCAGCCAACATCATGGGCACCTGCTGGAGAGGCAAAGAAGCGTAACCAAAACAGAGAAAGTCAAAGGAAAAAAAAAGAATCAATAGCCTTTGCTGGAAGCTTCTGGTTTAATTGTTTGAACTGGTTTCAACTGGTGATGATACTCTCTTAGGTAAAGAATCTTTCAGAAGAAATGACAGCGCTTGAAGAAAACATTTCCAAACTGACCAGAGAGAAGAAATCTCTGCAGGAAGCCCACCAGCAAACACTGGATGATCTTCAGGTTGAAGAAGACAAAGTCAATGGTCTGATCAAAATAAATGCCAAGCTGGAGCAGCAAACAGATGACGTGAGGATATTTCATTACTATGCCCTAACACTGATGACTTGCAGAAGCAAAGACAAGATGAGGTCTACACAGGATGCAGGGGTTGAGGGTTCTGACTCTGGGGTCAGAATCTCAGCCCCTTCCAAATAAATGTGGAATGCTGAATGAGCCACTTAAACTTGTGAAGCCTCAGTTTCCACCTTGTGAAATGGGGAATCAATTAGCTTTACCTCCAAGAGTTTTCATGGAAAGCTTAGCAAATAGAGTATGTTCAGCAAAATGTTAGCTGCTAATATCACCACCACCATCATCATCACTATCATCCTCACCACCACCATCACCACAATCATCACCATCAACACCATCATCACCATCATCGTCACTGTCACCATCATCACCATCGTCATCACCATCATCATCACCATCATCACTATTATCCCATCACCATCACTATCAGCATCACCGTCAGCATCATCACCATCACCGTCACCATTGTCATCACCACCACCATCACCATCATCACCATCACCACCATCATCACCACTGTCATCACCATCATCACCACTGTCATCACCATCATCACCACCACTATTATCCCATCATCATCACTATCAGCATCACCATCAGCATCATCACCACCAGCATCACCATCACCATCAATGCCAACACCACCATCATCACCATCACCGTCACCACTCTCATCACCACCACCATCACCAACATCATTATCACCAGCATCATCACCATCAGCAGCAGCATCACTATCATCATCATTATTAGCATCCACTTGTAGGTCCTTGGGTTCCAACAGCTCCAATCCTGTTCTAACTTTGTTAAAAATGAGTTTCATTGGTGGCCTGAAAAATTACCATCTATCCCCTCCCTACCCCCACACCAGGTTACACTTTTTTCTTGATATAAGAGCCAGGTTTGAAGATTTAAGGTTTCACTCCCAATCGTGGTTAGAATGTTTCCAGATTGCTGCAACTGTCCTGAGGCCAGAGCAGGTGTCCTCCTCCCCACCAACTCCTTTCCCTCACCGCCACCGGCCCCCCATACACACACATTCTTTGCCTAAATCTCCCCACAGCTGCATGGTGCAGGCAGGGGAGAAGATTGATAGTACATAATCTAGACCTTCACAGGCACAGCTGGTGCAGTGCCCTCCCACAGATGCCCCATTTGTTCTGTCTGGGTAAGAGTATGCATCCCCCAGCACCATGTTTCCATCATGGTGCATGGGATAGGCCAAATGGGCATCGACTGAAAGAGGCACTGGGAGGCCTCTGAGGGGATCCAGCCTTTGCCAGAGGAGAGAAGAGGGAGGAGGCAGGGGACCATGCTCCCTCCTGGGGCAGAGGCGAGGGCTCACGCCTGCAGGATCCCAGGGACACTGCCCTTGGCTAAGAGGCAAGCTCAGTTCCCAGCAAATCTCAACCCTACCCCACCATGTCTTCTCAGCTGGAGGGCTGCTTAGAGCAGGAGAAGAAACTGCGGGCTGACCTGGAGCGAGCCAAGCGGAAGCTGGAAGGAGACCTGAAGATGTGCCAGGAATCCATCATGGACCTAGAAAATGACAAGCAGCAAGTGGAAGAGAAACTGAAGAAGTAGCTCTTTCATGTGCACCTCTGTGTTTGAGCCTGAAAGCCAACTTCTGCCTTTGAAGGGTGCATAATTCGGGTAATTTAAATATATTTACCTATCTATTTGCAGGAAGGAGTTTGATATCAGTCAGTTACAGACCAAAATTGAAGACGAACAAGTTCACAGTCTGCAGTTACAAAAGAAGATTAAAGAACTGCAGGTAACGTGTGGACACCTTTCCCCAACTGGAAATCCCTGTATCAGGGACCTCCTTGCTCCTTCCCCTAGGTTTCTCTTTTGTTAGTATTTATATATTTGGCTGCACTGGGTGTTAGTTGCAGCAAATGAAATCTTGTGTTGCGTCGTGTGCGCTTAGTTGCCCCACAGCATGTGGGATCTTAGTTCCCAGACTAGGGATTGAACCTGAGTCCTCTGCATTGCAAGGCACATTCTTAACCATTGGACCACCAAGGAAGTCTCATCCCTAGGTTTCTTTTGCTGCTTTTTTGTCTTAGCCCTGTTGGAGCTGGAGAGAATCTCCTTCCATTTTTTGAAGTTAATATTCAAATTGTCTAAGTTGCATATAGATTTTCTTGAAGATAATTAAAAATATTACCCATAGACTAAATATTATTGATAAGGGTGCTGTAAGCACCACCCCTAAGTCCAGGGTCCTTCCATCTTCTCGGAAATCCAATGCATCCTCTGGATCTTTTGTACACAAGGATCTATGTACATAGACACAAAGAAAAATGTATAGGACATGCGTGCATGCATGCTAAGTCACTTCAGTCATGTCAACTCTTTGCAACCTCATAGACTATAGCCTGCCAGGTTCCTATATCCATGGGATTCTCCAGGCAGAATACTGGAATGGATCTGCAATGGATTACCATGCCCTTCTCCAGGGGATCTTCCTAAAGGGAACAAGAATATTAAATAAATATGTATATATATATATATAAACTTCTACATAACATATATGTATATGGGGACTTCCCTAGCAGTCCAGTGGTTACAACTCAGTGCTTCTACCGCTGTGGGCCCATGTTTGATGCCTGGTCAGGGAACTAAGATTATCCAAGCCATGTAGCATGGCCAAATATACATACACACACACACACACACATATATATATATATATATACAAAAAATATATATACTTAAAATATTAAATAGAGACTATCATTATGCAAGTCACTCTCTTCATGTAGCAATGCATTCTGCAGAGCTGTCCGTGGTAGACATGAGTGGACATCTTACTACTTCGTGGTCTCCTGGACCACGGGATCCATCACTGTTGATCTGACCATTCCCCTACTGATGGGCACTTAGATTGTGGCCAAGTTTTCTTCCAAGGATTTAATGTTATAATGTATTCTTGACTTAATGAAGCCCACCCCCATTCCTCCCCACCATGTCCTCCCCGAAGTGGGGCTGTTGCCCAACCCCCCATGACCTTCCTGACCCAGTGACCCTTTCAGGCCCGCACTGAAGAACTGGAGGAAGAGGTGGAAGCAGAACACACGCTCAGAGGCAAGATCGAGAAGCAGCGCGCAGACCTCTCCCGGGAACTGGAGGAGATCAGCGAGCGGCTGGAAGAAGCCAGCGGGGCCACTTCAGTCCAGATCGAGATGAACAAGAAGCGCGAGGCTGAGTTCCAGAAACTGCGCCGGGACCTGGAGGAGGCCACGCTGCAGCATGAGGCCACGGCGGCCGCTCTTCGCAAGAAGCACGCGGACAGTGTGGCCGAGCTGGGGGAGCAGATCGACAACCTGCAGAGGGTCAAGCAGAAGCTGGAGAAGGAGAAGAGTGAGCTGAAGATGGAGATCGACGACATGGCCAGTAACATCGAGACCGTCTCCAAGTCAAAGGTACCTGATGCTTCTGCTCTCTGCAAAGACGAGGCAGCATCCACCTTCTGGGTGAGCGGGTACAGTTCCATGCCTGCAACTCACTGCATGTTCTGAACGGTAACACTCTCTCCACTTCCATCTGCTCCTGGCTCCCCAAATTCATTCAGGTCACCAGAGCCCTGATCCAAAAATCTGCTACAACTCAAGATCTCATCATTCATCCAGTATTTCCCAAATGCTTCCAATCCATCTCCCATTTTCTTCTTTATTTGTGCATTCAGGCCAGCTAAGTCACTTCAGTTGCATCTGACTTTTTGTGACCCTTTGGACTGTAGCCTGCCAGGCTCCTCTGTCCATGGGATTCTCCAGGCAAGAATACTAGAGTAGGTTGCCATGTCCTCTTCCAGGGGATCTTCCCAACCCAGGCATCGAACCCAGGTCTCTTATGTCTCCTGTAGATGGGTTCTTTACTACTAGTGCCACCTGGGAAGCCCATTTATTTATTCACTTATTATTTATTTGGCTGTGTTGAGTCTTAGCTGTGACGCACAAAGTCTTGTTGTGATGCTCAGACTCCAGTTGCAGCACATGGGCTTAATTTCCCCACAGCATGTAAGAGCTTAGTTCCCCAACCAGGAATCAAACCCGAGTCCCCTCCATTGCAAGGCAGATTCTTCAAAGTGGCAACCCCACTTTGAAGCTAAACTATCAAATGATTTGATACTGGGAACCCAGGATCCACTTTTCCCATTCATGTTGGCTTTTTTTTTTTTTTTCCAAGAGTAATGTGGAAAAGATGTGCCGGACTGTGGAAGACCAGTTTAATGAGATCAAAGCCAAGGATGACCAACAGACACAGTTAATCCATGACCTGAACATGCAGAAGGCGAGGCTGCAGACCCAAAATGGTGAGGATGGGCAGGGCCCCGGGGTCCCACTGCACCATGGGAGAGGGTAGTCCAAACCCTGACGTGGGCCCACATCTGTTTGCCAGGGGAGCTGAGCCACCAAGTGGAAGAGAAGACCGCTCTGATCTCACAGCTAACCAAAGGCAAGCAGGTCCTCACCCAGCAGCTGGAGGATCTTAAGAGGCAGCTGGAGGAAGAAACCAAGGTAAGGATGGATGCCTCCATCTAGAAAGGTAGAGTTGGGTAGGACCTGAGAGGCCATGGAGCTGGTTGAGGGCAGTGCTGTGTCATGAAGTCTGATGCTGCTCCTCTCTTCCTTGTAGTAGGACAGGAACATGTTCTTGGAGGTTCCAGAACCTTGGCATTGGATCTCCTTCTTCAGAGCTAGAAAACTCTATCAGGGTGCTCCATCCTCGGAGCCCCTCTGTTCCCCAGTGGAGGGGCTGATAAACTCCCCTCCCCCACCACTGTACTATTGGGCCATCTCTGCCTCTGTGCATCTTCCCACTCTGCCCAGCAATCATTCTACCCCCTTGAAATGCCCTCCTTTCCTCCATCACTCTTTGTGTATCATCAGCTACAACACCTACATTTAAGAACCCCCCCTCCTCCAAAAGGCTGGGTGGTTTTGGGGCACCCTTGGGACATTTGCATAAACACAAACACCATCATCATGTTCTTGAAATCAATATCAAGATATTTATAATTCACATCCCCCAACTAATCTGTCAACTCCTAGAGGGCAAAAATTATTTTTTCCCACTGTAGTAGTTAACAGTAGCTATAGCACACAGTAGAACAGTGCACACAGTAGGTGCTTAGTAAATGTTGTTGATGTGTGTTTGAAAACCAAAACAGAAAACCAAAACTGCACATATGTAGTTCTGAGGTTGCCATGTGCCGGCTAAAACTTACAGGGCACTCTTCTGGAATCCCAGCAAACTCCATCTGCCTCTCCTAAAAAACAAGAAAAGTGCTGTATTTGTCTCCCATCTTTCTCATATATGGTTGGGGTCCCTGGGGGACTTTCGGGGCAGAGGGAGTGGAGAGAATCAGAGCCTGAAAAGGTTCCTTCCAGGAGCAAGGCTGTCCTTTGGCCAGGATACAGAAAGAGCTAAGCTTTCCTTCCTGGGAAAAGTTTGTTGTTTATTTGTGTCTTTGTTGTTGTTGTTCAGTCACTAAGTTGTGTCCTACTCTCTGCGAACCCATGGACTATAGTCCATCAGGCTCCACTGTCCATGGGGTTCTCCTGGCAAGAATACTGGAGTGGTTGCCATCTCCTTCTCTAATTTGTGCCTTTAAAAGGATGCAAATATATGAGTTACTGCACTGGGCCAACCAGAAAGTGTTCTGTGACCATCATGATGAGAGCTCCAATGTCCTCCCGACCAGGTGGAAGTGAGTGATGGAGGCCTCAGACATGTCCCCCTTCTGCTTGGGAAGAGGTGGCAGAGCCGTGGAAACCACACAGCTCATGTCAGAATTCTCGGGTGGGGACACAACCCCCTGATGACACCAGAATACACTTTTGGGGTTTTCATGGGCATGGTATTCCAAAACACTGCATTAAGTAGTGAGAAGATTATCCCTTTCTGATTCTCCTCCAATTATTCTGATTAAATAAGGAAAAGGTCTCAATTTTGATGCTGTTGTTTAGTCAATGAGTCGGGTCCGACTACTTCGTAACCCCATGTGACCCCACCAGGCTGCTTAGTTCATGGGATTTCCCAGGCAAGAATACTGGAGGGGGCTGCCATTTCCTCTTCCAGGGGATCTTCCCAACTCAGGGATCACACCCAAGGCTCCTACATTGGCAGGCGAGTTCTTTACCACTGAATCACCAGGGAAGCCCCTCAATTTGGATACCATCTCTCTAACACTGGTGCATCCTCCTCATCAAAACACAAGAGAGTAGGACTAGGACACAGGGCCATAGATGCAAATTACTTAGCTAGAAGGTGGTAACATTGTCTTACCTCCATTGCATTTACTCGGTTACCTTCTGTTTATGGCAAGTGTTAATGACTTTTCACTTAAATATAATAGTCTACTTTTAAAAAAGTGAAGTAAATAAAACAGGAGCTGTGCTGTTCCAGCTAAGTTTGTGAAGGCAGCAAGTGAATGATTCAAGTTGGGAAACACCGGTTGAAACAAAATTACTTACCCTGGAAAATGACCAAATGGTTCTGCAATGTGTCATCACGGTGATTCCGCAGGCCAAGAACGCCCTGGCCCACGCCCTGCAGTCCTCCCGTCATGACTGTGACCTGCTGCGGGAACAGTATGAGGAGGAGCAGGAATCCAAGGCCGAGCTGCAGAGGGCGCTGTCCAAGGCCAACAGTGAGGTGGCCCAGTGGAGGACCAAGTACGAGACGGACGCCATCCAGCGCACGGAGGAGCTGGAGGAGGCCAAGTAGGGGCTCCCAGGTTATGGTAGGAGTGACGGCCTTTAGACACAAGGAAGAGACAGGGGACAGGCCCTGTCTTCCTCCCTAGGCCTTCAAGTTTTCTTAAGCACACAGACCCGGTCTCCATGTCCTTCCCCCTGGGTCCTGTCCATTCATTCCACCTGGTCCCCTTGGCACCTCCTAGGTGACTGCTTTGCCACCAAACATTTTGGGATTCTTCAGGTGATACTTATATCCTATCCAATCATCAAACTCTAGGCCTTGGTCTTGTCAAATTCCAGTCCTTTATAGATGGCTCCACTCCCTCCTGATCTGACAGTTACTTCTGAAAGAGTCCACCCTTCCCAGCAACAGTAGGTCTGATCCTCTTAGGAAGAAACTGGCCCAGAGGCTCCAGGAAGCAGAGGAGAACACAGAGGCCGTGAGCTCCAAGTGTGCGTCCTTGGAGAAAACCAAGCAGAGGCTCCAGGGAGAGGTGGACGATCTGATGCTGGACTTGCAGCGGGCCAACACCGCCTGCGCCTGCCTGGACAAGAAGCAGAGGAACTTCGATAAGGTCCTTCCTCATCTCTTGATGCAAGAGACGTGTGAATGCACATACCTTGGGGGAGGGGGAGGCGCACAGAGTGTCAAGTCCAGAGTGGAGAGTCTGGGGCTTTGCACTGTCTCTTGATTTTGTGACAGTGCCTCTGAAAGGGATTTTATTTTTCATCAAAGTTAATTCAGATTACTTTGAGACCAGCATATCTTTCAGAATACAGCAGATCTCTGTAGAGATATCAGAGTTTGGAACCCCTGAGTTTGGGGAATCCCCCTGTTTCTTTGGTCTCTAAAGATGGAAGGGTCCCACTTTGGCCTTGCTGACATGGCTCACTGTTAACATGACTCAGTTCCTGGCCTTCTCAGCTCCTCACAGGTCCCTCTGTCACCTCCTAGGTCTTCTCAGAGTGGAAACAAAAACTGGATGAGAGTCAAGCTGAGTTGGAAGCAGCTCAGAAAGAGTCCAGGTCTCATAGTACTGAGGTCTTCAAGATGCGCAACGCCTACGAGGAGGTGGTAGATCAGTTAGAGACAGTGAGACGGGAGAATAAAAATCTGCAAGGTGAGCACTGCCCATTGAAGGGGTAAGAAAGCGCCCGCTCTCTCCCCAACTCACAGGGCTGTGACAGTCCCCCTTCTCTTCCAGCCACCTCTCCCCCACTTAGCCACAGCTGCCTCCTTCTCACTGCCCCACAAAATCCTCACATCTACTCAGTGACCCCAAGACCCAAAGTCCCCCAATGGAAGGCATAGTGGCAGCCAAGCCTCATTCTCAAGAACAGAGGGCTCATGGGCTGCCAAGCTCCCTACACTGCTAGAAAACAGATCTTTCGTGGATTCTGTCTCTATGTGGCTTTGTGTCCTCGGGTCTGACACTAAATCCCTTAAGGTCTCAGACTCCTGACCTACAAAATCAGACCAGACCCAATGCCCCCGAAAGCCCCTTCTATTTCCAAGACTCTGATTCCATGCATACTCTCCATGATTTCCTCCCTGGTCCTCTCCAAGACCACTTTGTAGACCGTGTGAAGGTGCAGGGTCACAGTGTTTTGCTCTTCCTCCCTCTGCCCCTCCAGGTGAGGCCACACACCTGTGTCTTACCGACACCTCCCCCGAAAGGCTACACTGTATTTGTTCTCTCCTGTATGAATGACATGAATGAACTGCCAGTCCTTCAGTTCCCTGGCAAAATTTGATCCTGTGTGATCAAACAGAACCTGTGGAAATAGCCTAAACCAAGCCTGTCCTTTGCAGAAGAGATTTCCGACTTAACCATGCAGATTGCGGAAACAAACAAGAATCTTCAGGAAGTGGAGAAGACCAAGAAGCAGGTGGAGCAAGAAAAGTCAGACCTCCAGGCTGCCCTAGAAGAGGTGGAGGTAAGTGCCTGGGATGTGATGGAGAAGCACAGAGCACTGCGGAAGGGGGGCTAGACCATGCTCCCTGGGCACCCTTCCTGCCAGGAGGCACTGGAGCTTTGACGGAAAGAACAATCAGCTGCCCCCACCCCACGGTGGGGGTGGGGAGGGCAGCCGTGTCCTGCAGCTTCATCTCCTCCATGTCCTTGTATAATATTTTCCCTCTTGAATAAATAAACCTGTTCTTTATGTCCTCAACATCTCAGAAAGCAAGAACTCCATCACCAAACATCCTGAAAGCCAGCTCGGAATGCCTTAGCTTCAGCAAAGAGATATGTACAGTCATATTTGGCCACTGGGAATTCCATGTGGCCCATAGAGTGCAATGTCCTGATTTAATCATCCACGGTGGCCCGTGCAGGCCAGATGGTTGAGACGTTCCTAGGGAAGTTTCCATGACTCAGGGTAACAGGAGAGCAATTTCTCTTTCTCTGTCTTTTTAGAGATGAGGTAGGCTCCTGATTTATGGTCACTATTTTTTTTACAAAGATACAGTTATCAAATTTTTACTAATTCAAAGCGATGCTCTGTCCTCAAGACATAAGGCTGTTTGTTTATAACAAAGTTTCAGTTCCAGTTTCAGCACTAGTCACAATTTGGGAGCGAACCGTTTGACCTCTTTGAGCATTGTTCTAGTCATTTGTAAAACGAGCCTAATAGCACCCATTTTATCACGATGGGGATGAGAAACCTCATTCCAGAAGGTGGCTGCCCCAGCACTCCCAATCTTTCCTTTGCTTTCATCAGGGTTCCTTGGAGCATGAAGAGAGCAAGATTTTGCGTGTACAGCTAGAGCTGAACCAGGTGAAATCTGAACTCGACCGCAGGCTCAATGAGAAGGATGAAGAAATCGAGCAGCTGAAAAGAAACAGCCAGCGAGCAGCAGAGGCCACGCAGAGCGTACTGGATGCTGAGACCCGGAGCAGGAATGATGCTCTGAGGCTGAAGAAGAAGATGGAGGGAGACCTCAGTGAGATGGAGATTCAGCTGGGCCACTCCAACCGCCAGGTGGCCGAGACCCAGAAACACCTGCGCTCAGTCCAGAGCCAGCTCAAGGTGAGTGGGCGGCCCATGGGGGACCTGGCGGGACCTCAGCCTTCCATGGGCTCCAGTCTTACCCGTGGCTTCCCGTGAAGGACTCCCAGCTGCACCTGGATGATGCCCTGCGGAGCAACGAGGACCTCAAGGAGCAGCTGGCCATGGTGGAGCGCAGGAACAGCCTCTTGCAGGAGGAGCTGGAGGAGATGAAGGTGGCCTTGGAGCAGACGGAGCGGACCCGCAAGCTGTCAGAGCAGGAGCTGCTGGACGCCAGCGACCGCGTGCAGCTTCTTCACTCCCAAGTGAGTCCATTCTTGCTGCACTCAGGGTCCACTCTGGGGGTCAGGAGGGATCTGGGCTCTGTGGAGTGGAGTTCCCACCACTCCTCCCAGGCTAGTGGTCAAGACCAACTTTCATAAGGCTTAGTTCTTGGGATCGCATTGTCTCTAGATGGAAGATGGCTGAGCTTTCTTTTATCCAAAGATAAAGAAGGACAAATTATTGCATAAAGGGGCTGGAGAAGGCTGCACAGATGCAGTAACATTTAAGCTGCAAGCTTAGATAATTAGGGCTTCCGTGTGGCTCAGACAGTAAAATATCTGCCTGCAATGCGGGAGACCTGGGTTCGATCCCTCGGTCAGGAAGATCCCCCGGAGAAGGGAATGGCAACCCACTCCAGTATTCTTGCCTGGAGAATTCAACAGACACAGGAGCCTGGTGGGCTGCAGTTCATGGGATTACAAACAGTCGGACATGACTGAGCAACTAACACTTACACACACTTAGATAACTAGGATCGTCTTTTGAAATAATTATTTTTAAGAAAGTTACAAAATTCCTTGTTTTATTTATTTATTTTTGTCCATACCACATGGCATGTGGGTTCTTAGTTCCCCAAGAAAGTGAAAGTGAAAGTCGCTCGGTTGTCTCTGACTCTTTGCCACCCAATGGACTATGCAGTCCATGGAATTCTCCAGGCCAGAATACCAGAGTGGGTAGCCATTCCCTTCTCCAGTGGATCTTCCCAACCCAGGGATGGAACCAGGTCTCACACATGGGAGGCAGATTCTTTACCAGCTGAGCCACCAGGGAAGCCCCAACCAGGGGTCAAACCCTTGCCCCCTACAGTGGAAGCTCGAAGCCCTAATCATTGGACCATCAGGGAATTCCAAAAAATAATTCCTTGCTTTGAAAACTAGAGAATGCAAGCCAAAAAACAGTAAAATACCAACCATATTGTTAGCATTTGGGGATCTTTTATTCTAGACTCTTGTTTCTAGACATAAATATGATTTTTTTTGGTAAATGTCATCAATCCTTTTGCAACTTTTTTTCATTTAACAATGTCATAATCTCATTTCTATATTTTAAAATAATTTTCTATGATATAGTTTTTTTAATGGCAGAAAAGTAGTCTATTTTAGTTGTGTATTATGACACTTTTATATAATCAGTCTTCTATGGTTTGGCATTTTTAGATTGCCCTCAATAAAAATTTTTATGATTAGAAGATTGCTATGACAAACTTCTTCATATACATCCATGATTACTATTTCCTTAATATTCCTAGAAATAAATAAACTCCTGGAAGCCCAATTTCATGGTCAAAACAGTAAAAGCATTTATATGCTATAAATTGCTCTTTAACAAAGTTGTCCCAATTTTTATTCCCATTGGGAAAATATGTGAGAGTGCTTAGTTATTATTTGTTTTAACCTTCACTAATGTTTATGGTTGAAAACGCCTCACTTTAAAATTTCATATTTCTTTGATTACTAATGAGGTAGAACATTTTGTCATATTTGTGGGTTATTTGTATTTCGTCTGGTGTGTCTTAGCTATTTGTACTTTTGCCCTTTTTTCTGAATGGTTTATCTTATTTACATATT